CCATATTTATCTATACTGATTGTCAAATATTTAAAAATTCAAATTTGGGGGGAGGAAGAAAAATAAATTTCAAAGTTAAACTTTATTTGTCCTAAAAGAAACTGCAAATAAAATTTTATTTGAAAAATGATTTTTGTTATGTGGAGTTATCATAAGATTACTAAAATTTAAATCATAGAAATGCAATAGAAAAATTTAATAGAAACTTTAGTAAAAAGAATGAAACTAAAGTTAAGATGTTTAATAGAAAATATTAGGGAAATAATTTTCCCAATTACAGTAGGAAAATTTGAATTTTTGAAAGATTAAGGATTTTTATAATAATATTTTTTGAAGAATTTAGACTCCATTAAAAATCTTTTTCAAAAACTAATACAATATTTTAAGGATAGAAAATATTTTTTTAACTTTAGAAAAGAGATGGTAAAATTCAAAATCATTAAAGACCCATCCAGATATAGTAATCCTTACCTGAAAGAAAAAGAGGGGTGAGGGAGGGAGAGGAGAAGCTTGAGGATTATGACCTATTAAAAATTGATTTCACTTGAGTCTTTCTAAGGAAGAAAACTTAGTATCAATCATAAGCTTAATTTCAGAAAGTATTAGTAAAATTACTTTTAAAATAGAATTCATAAATTTTGAAATTAATATTTTTATTAATATTTTTCATTAATATTTTTCTAAAAATTCAAAGTTTGGAAAAATTTCAATTATTTCTGAATTAAATAGAAAATCAGAATTCATAAGTTTAATACTAAATATTATTCTAAGTTTATCATATAATATACTGGAAATTCTTCTAAGTTGAACTATAACATTTCTAGAACCAAATTTTTGGTCATCTTAAGGAAACCCACTAACATAAATCAACATATTTTTAAAATTGTTGTGTTAATTGAGGACAAGTAACGTTTAAGTTTGGGGGATTTTGACATGCCTAAATAGTACTACTTTTTTATGCATTTAATGCTTATTTTTTTAGTGATATTGCACTTTAAAGAAAAGTATTTTTTATGTTTTTAATTACAGGTACCATAGGTTATACAATTGAAACAAATGAAGCAAATAATGGAGAAATTTAGAGTCAAGTGGAGTAAATTAGGGTTAATGGAGCATAGAAGAAAAATTGGTCTGACGCCTAGATGTCAGGTAGTTATCTTGTGCTTTTAAAAAACTGGCTCTTAGACACCATAATCAGTTTTTTTTTAAAACTACAATGTATTTGGATGAATTTTTAAGAGGAATTTGAAGTGACTTATGGGGATTTCGAGGGTTATATTAAAAAGAGAGATTTTCAAGTATTGGACTCTCTTCATTTGTGTGTGTTAGTGTCTCTTGGGTGTATGTGTGTGTGTGTTTGGTGTAATCATAGAGGGAGAAGAGAGAGTGAGGCTTGATGTCTCTTCATGTGGGAAGTGTCTTTTGGAGTCTTGGTGACTCTTGCGACTTTAGAGATAAGTGTAAGGGATTATTATTTGTTATGCAAGGAGGGTGTGAAGCTTCTGTAAAGAAAATTATTGTACTTTTATTATATTTTCTTTGAATTTTTACATTATAGTTGTGTGATTTCAATATCATTTGCAATGAAGAATCCATGTGTCTTCTCCATGCTTAGTAAGTAGTCTTCCGTGCTCTTTCCTCTTGTGATGAAGTAGTGACATATGTAGGAAAATTTATTTTATGATAGAATAATTTTAATTTTTATGTGATAAGTAATATCTCTGTTGTTTCATTAACATAATGTACTGGTCATAGGTTTTTTTTTAAAATCTGTTGTAAGTTGAGACTAAGACTTGCAAGAGCGGTGACTTCACAACTTGAGTGCACTCACACTATCAGGTTATCGATGGTGAAGTAGTTTGGGCGGCAATGCAACTTTTAAAGGAAATATACTTCATGATCTGTTTCTATTAGGAGCTTCTAGGTGACAATTGATGTAGGTGAATATGTTCCTTACCATGAGTTGTAAGGTTATTAACCACCTTCGCATCTCTACTAGTTATGTAAACCTAATAGAATACTATGCGTACCTATACACTCAAAAAAGGGTAGGCAGACATATGTTTTTTGTTGGCACACAAATTTTTACATAATTTTATCATTTCTTCTACTACTTATGCCACTATATTCCTCGCAAGAGGAAATATTTTTTTATCATATAAGAACTTTTCAAAATTTAACCAGCCTCCATATATTAGGCTTTTATTTAATTTAGTTAACTTTAATTTTAGAGTAAAATAATGAATTTAGGAAAATCAAACATTTCGCAAATTTCAGGCAAAGACGAGTAATTGTAGACAAGAACTTTTACTGAAGTGCTTAAGCATTAACACATTTCCCTGCGGTATCAATACTCAGAGTTCTTGAAAGAAAGCTCTATATTTCTTGAACGATACATATACTTGCGTAGAACCCATAGTGTGTAAACTATAAATCAATCTCTAAATTCTATAACATATCAATTTTGCACACTAGCCGCATAAAGAAACTGGGTCAAGTTATTTGCTGGAAAACTAAATAACCGCATAATTGCAAGTCAAGTCAAGAACCATGCAAAATTACCTTTGTCAGAGGAGCCCTCAGTAACTAGATGCATTGAAAGCATTTCTCGAACAATGAAGTGAGGAAAAAAAGGCAAAAGAATCCTATTATGGAGCATGCCAACAATACCATTCTAAAAATCAAAACTAGTATTCATAATAAAAGAAAAAAAACTGCTTAGCAGGCGCCTTAGACAAGATAAGTGAACCAGGCTAGACTACTTTTATAAGCAAAAGAGGACCTAAGGAATGAATGGGTTCCCAAACCACTAATGAATAATCCAGGACTACTCCATGTCAAAATATAATGATAACGCTCCCAGGAGAAGATCAGCCCTCGAAACATTGATAATGCATTTAAAAATGAGAAAATCAAATTCTTTACAATACAAGCTAAAGAACTAATAATGCATATAAAGGAGTTTATCCTTAAAACACATTCTATCTTCGCCTCGAAGGGCTCAAAGGTCAATCAAACAAAAAGATATTTTTTATCTTTCTTCTTGCAAGAATCAGGGAGAACTGTTCGAAGAGATAAGAGAATTGAGAAACTAAATGCACAAATAATACCAAATCGCTAATTGTTAAATTATTCTCTTTATTTATTCATGTGGAATCGAATCCAACAATTTAAGTGGTTGAACTGGGTCTACTGGTAGAAGTAGCTGACTTAAGCTCATCAATGAAGTAGTTGGATCAGACCTACCAACTAAATTAGCTAAGTTAGGCCCACCAGCCGAAGTAGCCTAGCTGGAACCACCAGCTGAAGTGACCGAATTGCATTTACAAGCCGAAGTTGATAAAGGTTGCCCTAATATTTGTTCACTCAATATTTATTGTGCCTATCAATTTTCAAGGCCAAGCTCATTGCCCAAGTCAAAAGGACAACTATCACATCGCCGAAATCGGATTACACAGCAGGTGTAGAACTTATCTAAATTTAATAGTTCTCATGAAAGATATAAGAGGAAGCTTACCAACAAATATGGCTGTGAATTTTGCTCAAAGATAATAAATTGCTCGAAGATTGATTCAAATTTTGGCTCGAATCAAGATCAGATTGAAATAAATGAGGCGATCTACAAGCCAAAAATTTGGATTGAAATTTTTCGTGAGACCCCAGCTCAGGTTGAAACCAGGTTGTTAATAACTTATGACTGTGAATTTAGCGAATTTAGATCGAAGATCGTTAATCGCACGAAAATTGATTCGAATTTTGGCTCGGATCTAGATCAGATGGAAATAATACGAGCCAAAATTTTGAATCAATTTTTTTTAGCAGATTTTGATTTGACCTCAGCTTGGCTTAAAATCAGATCATTCACAGCCCTACTAGTGAACATAAAAATACTGTATTCATTAGTTTATGATTAATTGTCCATCAAGTATAATATGGAACAAAGATGAAGAAAAGGGTGCGGGCTCCTGGAACTCTCTCTCTCTCCCTCTCTCACTTTCTCTCGCTTGAATTCAGCTAACAAAGGTTGCAATGATATTGGCTTTCCCAAAGTCTTCACCATGAAGGATCCTTCGTCCCAAAAGGATTTAACAAAAAAATGTATGTATGTGTATATATATATATGTATGTGTGTGTGTGTGTATGCGCGCGCGCGCGCGTGTGCGTGTGCGTGTGCGCGTGCGCGTGCGCGCGCGTGTGCGTGTGTGCGTGTGTGCGTGTGCGTGCGTATGTATGTATGTGTGTGTGTGTGCGCGCGCGTGTGCGTGTGTGCGCTCGTGTGGGTGTGTGTGTTTGCGCGCGTGTGTGTGTGGGTGGGTGGGCGCGCGCGCTTGTGTTGCGGCTCTGCGTAAGACCCCTCTAGACTTAGGTTTTGAATCCTTGATCAGATGTGATTTGAATTTGCACATGGGGATTGGTGGGGGCTCCGCCCCCTCTTCAGCCCAACCATTTTTAAAAATTATATATATATATATATATATATATATATATATATATATATTACTATTATTATTTTTTTTTTCACACACATACATATTATATACTTCCACGCACGTGCATATAAACACGTATAAAATCACATAATTCTTGTATATTAACTTAATCTAAATTTTGAAATTTGGTTAAATATTTTTTTTAATATATCAATTACTTCAAAATATATTATAGTGAAAAGTGTTTATTACTTTGGGAAATTAATTTTTCTTATATTTTTTATATAATTTAGAGAATTTGGTATTATACTTAGTTTATATTATATATGTAAATATGGACAGAAAAAAAAATATTTTTTCAAGCATTGCTCGAAGCTGATAATTTGAGATTAAATTAAAAAAAATATTTTTTCAAGCATTGCTCGAAGCTGATAATTCGAGATTATTTAATTTTTATTTAATTTAGGACTATCACATAGAGAGAGAGAGAGAGAGAGAGAGAGAGAGAGAGAGAGAGAGAGAGAGAGAGAGAGAGAGAGAGAGAGAGAGAGAGAGAGAGAGAGAGAGAGAGAGAGAGAGAGAGAGAGAGAGAGAGTGGAAGGGATAATTTCATAGATTATACGTAACGTGGAAGGACGGAGGATGGTAAATTAGAAGTGAATTCCAAAATTAGGGTTCTGCTCTCACTTGTATTGTCCGACCATAAGGCCGTCTGATACTTTTGACCTCGACGGCTATTCCACAACGTCACCCGGTAAGCTCTTGCACTCTCATTTCGGAAGCTGTTTATGGCTTTTCTTTTGTTTGATCGACTTGTCTATATATTCTTCTGTTAACGCTTGTGGTATTTTACCATTACAAAAGATCTCCTTTGATTTTTTTCTGTTTTGCGTTCCTTTCCCGCTTGTTCGAATCAAGTACCTGGATTTGATGTCTGAGTTTAGGATTGATTTTTTTTGTTACCATTACAAAAGATCTACTGACTAGCATGGAGATGATGAACATTTTTTGTTGGCTATATTCTTTTGAATCATGACGTTTATTATGACGTTTTTCTTTTTTTTTTCCATGTTTTTTAATTGATTAGGTTTTGCTGATTGAAAATATGCAGAAAATGTTAAATTTTTAAATGTACCTCTTAATCCTGTTTTTGGTGGTTATGTAGTCGGAAATAAGTTTTTCCTGATGTTGTACCTTTCCCTGTCACGACATTTTAAGAATTCTAGTCATTACTGGTCTGGTTCTGATTTTATGAAACTGTTAATGACTAAGTTATTATGTTGAATAGATTCTTGATATTTCTGTACCCCTGTTCTAAATTCTGGCTACTGGTAGAAGATTCTAAATAACATCATACATTAGGATTGTGAATTTCAAAAATTGATCTTATCTGATTATATCTTCTTCCACTGCAATAGGAGCAATGGATTTTAACTATGGTTTACTGCAATATTTCATAGATGTCTTTGTGCAACATCATTTTATGAATATTTTATTCTTGATTTAAGATATTGTCTTGTTTATTACTTTCTCTTTTATCTCTGTGCTTCTCACATTATTTCTTTTTTCCCCTTTCTTTTCTTTCCTCTCTTTTGGAATCATTGTGTTTGGATTTGTATAACTTATTCAGTTAAACAAAGGCAAGAGATTTCAGGCTTCATCTTGCTTTCTAAATTAGCAGAATTCTTTTCATCATTTTTCCCTGTTGAGCATCATCCTATCTATTATCATGATTAAATCTTTCTCTTACCTGTTCTATGTGTACTATTGTTATCAACCAATACAAAAGATCTATCAAGTTGAGACTCCTTTGAGGCTTTCCATGGCTTGGATCAATATGAGATTCTACTTTGGAATTCCTCTCATCCTTTCATTTATTTTCCATCCAACAAAAATTTGTATGCTTCCTCCGCAAATGCTTTTGCCTTCTCTTCTCCACAGCTGTTTTTCAAGCTTCCATTAGATACATAAAATGCCGAAGACAAGAGCAAGAGCTGCTGCTGCTGCTGCTAAGGTGACTGAGCCTGTAATGCCTGCTGAGCCTGAAGAGCAGGTGGAGCTTGATGGGTCTGAAGAAATGGAAGAAGAGGTTGAATATGAAGAAATTGAGGAAGAAGTAGAGTTGGAGGAAGAAGAAGAGGTGTTAGAGGAAGAAGAAGTAGAAGAAGAGGGAATTGAAGAGGAGAGTGATAATGATGCTGCTAATGGTGCTCTTGCAAAAGCCAATTCAACTTTGGCCAATAATGAATCTGTGAAAGAGGATGGTGAAGATCTGGAGGATGAAAGCAAAAAGCATGCTGAACTTCTTGCTCTTCCTCCACATGGATCAGAAGTGTATGTTGGAGGCATCCCTCCTACTGCAACTGAAGAAGAGTTAAGAAGTTTTTGTGAATCAGCAGGGGAAGTTACTGAGGTCATTTTTACTTTTTAGTATCAATTTATATTTCAGTTTATTATCAATATATGTTTTAGTTTATATAATTTAAATACTTACAAGCTTTTGAAATTGGCAGGTTAGAATGATGAAAGGAAAAGATTCATCAGAGAATAAAGGTTATGCTTTTGTTACTTTCAGGACAAGAGAGTTGGCCTCAAAAGCTATTGAAAAACTGAACAATACTGAATTCAAGGTAGTTGATATATTGTCTTTAGAAATTCTTTATATTTATTTACTTTTCTAAAAACCGCATAAACGCTGTGCTGGTGAACAAATCTGATACTTTGAAGTGGTCTTTGGTAGACAGTTCACTAAGTGCTTGGAGTCGAAGCTTATGATATACTTTTAGAAGTTTGATTCTCAATCCTTTTAATTATTTTATATTTTTTATAGAATTGATAAACTAATCAACTCATTGTTGCTTTTGGTTTATTGAATAATGCAAAAAAAAAAGAAGTATTATGACTTATCTGCACAAATAGAATGGGCAATAAACAATGTTAGATGATTTAAAAAATATGCTTCCTGTAGTTTGATGTTTATGTTATACTTGTAGAAGTATGATTTTATACCATTATATTTTATATTTTATGATTAGAATTGATGAAAATTAAACTTTCTTGCTTTTGAATTTTTGAAGAATCTAAAATATATACAGTATTGCATCTGTATCATATTTAAAATTATTATTAAATATGCATTACTACATTATGTTAAAAATATCAAACTACAGTTTTGTAGTTGTAGATGTTCAATGGTTTCTCCTTTTGAATTTATCCTTCACTTTTTGTTAAATACATATTATAGTTATGGAGAGTCGTTAGAGGGAAATGAAATAAACAATGGAAAACATGAAACCATATTGTTACCTTATAATTTCTACTAAAATTTGCTTGAATGATGAAAGAGTAGTGCTTAGGTTATCTTGGTACACATTTTTTCTTTAGGTAATGTTATCTTCTTTCACCTCTTTCCAAATTTTATTTTTTTTAAACTATTCTAATCCAATTTGTGAATAAACACTAACCACAAGTATGGTATCTTGATTGTTAATTCACTTCATTGCTATTCCCATTAGAGTTGATTGTAATTGCATAATCATCATCCTTATTATTCTCAGCAATTTTTTCTTTCAACTCTCTAACCCCTATCATCTTAATGCAATTTTATTGTTAATGTTCCCATCATACAATGAATTGTAACCTTCCTAAATGCCATTTACTTTTTCAATCTTCCATTTATTTATTTAGTTTATCGCAAATTGTAAGGTTTTAAAAAGCAAAACCAAGAAGTGAGGTTTTTTTTTCCTTTGAAAGATAAGGCATAAGCCTCAAGGCTAATCAATGTGTAAGCCTTGAAATAAAGATTCTCACAAAATTAAGAATAATTCATAAATATCACATGAAGCATTGATATATTGATTTAGTTTATTACTTTTTTAAATTGGGATTTACATATAGAACATCCAAAACATACTTAAGCCTCAATTCTAACACTCCATAATTTCACTCGTTGCTGTTTTAATCCCTCCGTAGATGCGAGCATCACACTCTTGTAAGGACGAGATAAGTATTGCTCCCTTATCTTCACTGCTTGAGAGACCTTCCTAGTTCTCCCCCACACATCGCCCTTGACACCCTTGCGAGCTTCCGCTCCCTTATCTAGGTATTTGTCGTAGACAACAATAGACTGGTGCATCGTAGGTCTTTCTCATCTACTGGGGGTCTCGCTTGTCCCTCGATGTTTCGTGAGCTTCTAAGCATCTTATTGAGATCTTTGTTGTCAGTAATCTTCTATATCGACCATTTTTTTGTTTCCCAAGTATGAGAATATGGTAGTTGGGAAAAGTGCAATGCTTTTATCACTTGCGAGCTTTAAGGATATAGAGGATGATACATAATCCCCCACCAAAGATTTTGCTGCCTTTTTTTTTTTTTTTTTGCGTATAACCTTTTCAAGGTTCATGTGGTTTTAGAGTATGAAGTTGTTGGTGCTTATAGGAGTGTAAATTATCATCCTTAACTACATAGTTGAAAGTAATATTGTTTTAAGTTTATAATTGTGATGATTGGTCACATTCATCGTTCCATTCCATAGTTGTTTTTCTTCTTGATAGCAATATGATAGATTAGATCTTAAAATTGATATGAAATTGAAAAATGATCATTAATTGACATAAAAAGTCAATTCTTTGAAAGTTCTGAAACAATTGTTAAACGTGAAAATGAAAAAAACTCAATCTCGATTAAATTAAAGTTACCAATAATCATGTCGTTTATATTTGCAGTTTTAACTATATACTATAAATGAATCTCCTAGTTAGATTAAAAAAAGTTCAATGATGATTCTATTGTTCATCAACAACAACAATACATACTCATTCAATACTGCCAGAATTTATCTCATCTTTTAACACAATTTGTCTCATACAATAAAAGAAAATTCAAATAGTGGATAATTGATTCATTCTTGATGGAATGATCAGTGTTTGTATTGCCACAAAACCTTTAGGTACTTGTATATTAATTTATGTTTTTAAGTGCATCATTAACATGTTTCAAATTTGTGAACGAGTTAAAATACTCTCAGTATCGATGGCGATCCAAATCGTAGTCTATTACTGATGCAAAGTATTATGTATGGTATTCACTTGCTATCGAGGAGAAAATTATGGTTGAAGATTTTATAGATGCCCAAGCAATTGAACAAAAGATGATTGCAAATATTTTAAATGGATTGATGAAACAGTGATATTGCATTCAATATGAATTATATTGGAAATGTTGCTTTTGAAAAGATGCCAATAATAGATTCTGATGATGATCAAGCTCTAAGATTTTAGTTGAATTTGTGATAGGCATTATAATAGCAATTATTGTGATGACGTTTTTTTTTGTTAAACATGTTTGATTTAATATTTTGGGTGAAGAGCATTTGATATATTTTGAAGGTAAAATTTGACTCGGCTCTACTCAAAATTTAGGGATGTTTGTTTTAATGTACTTATAATATTGTATTTTGATTTGTGTTGTTTAAACTATCAGTTTGTATTTCCGACATTATTGTTGATATAATTTATTTTCAGTTTTTTTTTCATGATTTGTAAACGTAAATATTAGTGTTGACAAAATTTGAAAAGAATAACTATGGTAATTCAAACGGTTCATTGAAAAATATATCAAACAAATCTCTCATATTTATATTTTATATTGTCTTCTCAGAAGTAATATAATTTTCAACTTATATATATATATATAATATATATATAAAGTTCAGCATTTATATATATACATATTTTATTTTATGATTCTTCGAAAATTTTGATTGCACTTGTCCCATGCAGTGATAAATCTGCAATCCTTGTATGGTTGGTAAAAGGGGATTTACTTGAAAAAAATAAAATTATCTTAGTTAAGTTTGCAAATGATGTTTTTGAATGGAGACATATGTGAACACTTTCAGCTTGAGATAAAATTTATGAGCTCAGTCTCTGTTTTTCTTTTTTATAAGTTTATGAGCTCACTTGGCAAATTTTCTCATTCTCTTTAGTAGATATCCTCAATGAACCGTTGCTGCTTTTTAGTCTATCTTAGAGTTCTAATCGTTAGTCTGTTGAAAAACATGTTTTTCTATGGCCAATATTTGACTGGTCTTTGCGATTTTATCTACCCTTTCTTAAAGGTGAGTTTTGGGTGTTGAAATATTTCTTATCCAAACTGTCCCTAACTCGAAAAATTATGAGATTGGTGGTGGTACCTATAACAAACAGACATATCACTATGAGATATTTTGCATTTAAGCTATACAAACAAAAATACTTTGTAAAGATTAATATATTTTCTCATAAATTAAATTAACTAACCTCTAGCTATCACATAAGAGTACACGTGAAGTTCCAAGAAGAGCCAGCAAATTTCATATGGAATCACCTGCCAACTTTAGTGAACCATGCCAAGTCCCGATAAGTAGCTTTGGATGACTTCACCTAGTTGGAGGTACGACCAAGTGCACTTTTTGCACGTAGGCTTAAACTCAGTTCAGTAGTCAGCAAGATTGATCGATTAGTTAGGTTCACTATCATCGTCATCATTATCATAGCTCCATGAGGAAGATGTTATAAAATTTCCAACACTTACGAGTTGAACAAGAATGGTTAGAAAATTCTTGCATGCATGGAGCTCTCAAGATAGACCCCTTTCATAGATTTGCACATTCCAAGTGTATAACATGATTAGAAAATCTTATTGGCGTTTGCAGGCATCAGTTCGCTTTTTCAATAGGTGATATATTTTATATTTGTGTTCCTATATTCGTATTGGTGCATAAAAACTAACTATGAACATAGCAAACAATGTGATCTTCTTATGGATTAGGTTTCCTAAAAAAGTTCATTATGTCATCCTATCTAGAACAATAAATTACAACATCAAAAGAGAACCAGGCTAAAAAAACATCCAGATCCCATACCAAATATTGTTGCAGCCACCTTTATTGATTCATTTGACACTGCTAAAACATCTAGAAATTCTCATAATTAAAATTCGCCTCCTCGAGCAAGCTCACCAGATCCAAGAGGCCTTAAAAAATTCTGAAATGTGAGGCGAAGAAGCCAACTTCCTGCACTTCACTGCTTAACGGAGCACCTATCTCATGTTCTCCTCCTGGAACTCCAATCACTACAGAAATAGTCTCATCGGTTTTGGAGTTTCCATCACCGCTTCCTGTATGTTGATAGGTTGGTTGAAGCTAAGCATTAGAATGATCATTGGAAAACTCATCCATTAATTTGTCTTAATCTTGCACAAGGAGATGCCAATCTTCCTTCACGAGTCACATTTAATGGCAAACAGATTGGGCCTGTTTGTTGCTTCTGTAGCCAAACATCTATACAAGTTAGATGGAAGTTGTGAAAGCAGGCAGGCAATATTCAAAACATCTATTTGTCTTCGTATTTCCCATTAAGAAAAGTGAGACTAAAATCAGTTCAAAATGCAGGCTTTTCTTTTAAGCATTATTTGCAGTGACTCGAGCTAACTCAGAAAACAAGATTGCCCAATTTAAACAAGTCTAGAAAATGCGCATATTAAAGCATAATACAGAATGAGGTTGCAGTTTTTTTTAAAATTAAAATTACAGTTTCTTGAAGAAAATCGTCTTGAAGCCTTCTTGGATTTTGGAGTGAGAAATCCATAAAGAAGATAGTCTACATCAATGGAGAAAGTTGCACTTATTGGGCATCTTCCTTTGAGTGGAAAGCCTCACGATAGTATTTCATCATGGGTATTGCAACGAAGTCAATTGGCTCCAGACTTTGAAGTACATGTTTTTTCTCCCAGAAAAATTTTACATGTTTCAATTATTAAAATTTCAACTTGAATATATTTTGTACAAAACATGGCCATTACTAGAAGATTAGATTTTCGTATATGGTTCCTATGCTTTAATCCATGAAAGACTGAAAATATAGCTTAGAATCTACAACGAATGAGGCTTCCATAAAGATATAAGTCTACTAGATAAAAAAATTTCATGTTTAGATATTTCTACCAAACATATATGAAATATGTGATAGTTTCCCAAAGTTATCTGGAAAAATTCATGAAATATTTGTTAGTTTCTTGAAAATAACTGAAAACATTTTTTTTTAAAGCAGAAACTGAAAATCAACGGAAACATTGTCAAGTAGAGCCATTCGGCATTCAAACAGCTTTAACCAAAGGCAGAATACTCGAGCTGTAAAAAAAAAAATAGAAAACAGAGCTGAGGAGAGAATTTGCCAGACAGCTGAGGAGAGAAAACTAAGCCCTTCATCATATTACCCACAAACTCATAAAAAAGGAAAATAGAGATCGAATCCATAGTTTTATCTTAAGTTGGAAGGTTCATATAATTTTCCATTCAAAATTATCATTCTTATTTTGCAAACTTGGCTTAGATAGTTTCATTTTTTTTCAAGCGAATCCCCTTTTCCCAACCATGCAGGATTGCAGATATATCGTTGCATGGGACTAGTGGAATCAAAATTTTTAAAGAATGATGAAAGAAAGAAAACTATAAGAATGCAGAAGTTTGTATCTATAAAGTTTAAAATTATGTTATTTTTGAGAACACAATATATTGTACATAGTTTCATTTTTTAGATTTATTTTAGACTTTCAAAGAGTTAATAGTTGACTTTTGTATCAATTAACAATCATTTTTTAATTTATTACAAATTTGAAGTTCTATTCTATCCTATTACTATAATAAATTGATTAATAGAAGAAAACAACTATTAAATGACAAGATGAATGCAATGAATCCATTACAGTTTTTAAAACTAGCAACACTCAATATTGCTTTCATCCATACAATTAAAGATGATGAATTAGTTCTATAAGCTCCGATAACATGACACTCTAAAGCCACATAAACTTGGAATTGCTGTAGGCAAAATAGAAAAAAATAATAAAATATAGCAAAATATAGTCGACAAAATCTTAAGTGTAAGTTTTTTACCAAAACCCTAAACCTTATAAGAATTACAATGAAATTAACTCTACAAATATCATTTTGTCTCCCTAAACTCATTAGTGACAAAAGCATTGAACTATTCTCCCTCGTTATCTTTCTCTCAGACGTGGAAAACAAAAAAAGTGATAGAGAGAGAAGATTACTTGCAACAAGGGCTCGATTAGACACTTTGGATCTTGTGAGGGATTGTGGGAGAAGAGACCTACAAAGGAGAAAGACCGTTGTTGCACTTGTTTGCTTCCGTCCGTGACAAATACCTAGATCAAGGATGCAGGAGCTCACGAGGGTTGATGGAGAAGATGTTTGCGTGGGACAATGAGGAGGTCTCGCATGCGTTGAAGATAAGGGAGTGGCACTTCTCTTTTCCCCTTTCAATAGTGCGATGCTTGCATCTACAGGGTGATTACAACAATAGCGAGCGAAGCTATGCAGTAATAATGAGAAAATTTTCCATACGGAGTGCGGACGTAGCTCTGCGTGCGGATTCCAGTAATATGCCGCCACGTGTGCTACATCGAGCCCACCTCATATTAAAAAATATGAATTTTTTACGGGGGTTATTGAAGTGAAACCGCGGAAGTTGTTAAGGCGGTTCACCGCGCGGTGTTATTGGGGGGTTATTGCTGCTTTATTGGAGTTAATACCCAATAAACCAAAATAATACCTCAATAACCCCGAAATAACACCGAATTTGATAGACTTGAACTGACTTTGGCATTATTTCAGGGTTATTGGGGTATTATTTCAGTGTTATTGGGGTATTATTTCGGTGTTATTGGGGTATTAACATCAATAACGCTGCAATAACCCCCAATAACCTTTGTGGTTCCACTTCAATAACCCCCCACAATAACCCACAATAACCCCCTCAATAACATCTGTGGTTTCACTTCAATAAACCCTGTAAAAAATTCATTTTTTTAATATTTTATGAGGTGGGCCCGGTGTAGCACACGTGACAGCATGTTACTGGAGTCCGCACGCAGAGTTGCGTCCGCACTTCATATGAAAATTTTTTTCTAGAATTGGAGCTTAGGTAGGTTTTGGATGGTATCTTAATAATATTAAAGTTTTTGGTGTTAAATATGAAATATAGGTTGTTTTGGGCGGTATATATGTAAATCCCCTTTTCTTAAAGACAAAGCACAAATCTTATTTTTAAATTTTGTATGACATGAATGTTTAAAACATGGTTTGAAGTAAGCATTTGCTTAAAGTTTAAGTACACTACGAGGATCAAGATTCATAATGTCCTCATATTTACATTCAACATATTTAGAAGAATCATTATATATAATTTTTTATCTTTTAATTTTGTCTCGTTAGCATCTTCCGAATCTTCTTCATTCATTACATTCTTATTTTTACCCCCTTTATTAATTAGCATTAAATTTAATATAATTTAAAATAAAATAATAAATTAATAGCATAATCAAGCAATCATACTTAAATTTAATTTTAATTTTTTTTGAGGCGTTGCTGAGATGAGAATGCTTAGGTGGATGAGTGGCCTGACACTCAGAGAAGATGCAAAACGAATTTATCCATGAAAGGGTTGGTGTAGCTCCAGTTGCAAACAAAATTAGTGAGAGTTGTGTTAGATTGTTTGGTTACATTAAACCTTGACCATCTGACGATCCAGTTAGGAGAGTAGAGGTTTTAGATTATGTTATGAAAGGTAGAGGTAGACCTAAAAAAACTTGGCATATTGTATTAATGATCTTAATCTATTAGAATTAAATGAAAATATGACACTCAATAAGTCACAATGGAGAAAAAGGATTCATGTAGCTGATCTCACTTAGTGGGATAAAGGCTTGTTATTGTTGTAATGTGGTTAGGTTCTCAACATCTCTTTTAGACGATGCTTTGACACTAACAAAATTTGAATTTCAATTCATTTTATTAATTTTGACATAAGTTTATTGCTTGTATTTCTAGCTAAATAGTATATCTTAATTTTTTTTTATCTTATCTTAGGACCAACAATGATGATTTTAAACAAAAAATACATATAAAAATTTATCATAGGAGAAGAACAAAATATAACCAAGTGATAATCCCGTTGGTAATAATTTTTTGTAAAGGTATAAGTACAAGTCCTGTTGCTAAATGAGATTCATAAAATAAACAACATAGTGAAATCATGCAAGCTAGTTCTTTGAAATCAGTCCTAAAAAATGACAATAAAATGAAACTTCTGTACTGCTGAAATAGCTAAGATTCAAAACAGGACTGATAAAATTGGAACATGATGTGCAAAGGTTGTGCGGTTGGTTTCTATTAAATGAATGCTAATGCTCCAAGGTTTCATCTACGGAGCTATTTAGCAATGTTAATCATGTTCCGGAATGTATGTTAACAATTTGACCGTTAAAAATAGTTATTTCTTAAAGTTTTAGCTGATATCGAAATTCATATTATTTATGATTTATTTAGATGCTATAACGTTTTAAGTAAAGCAGTCTTTCTTTGTGCAGTATATTAACTTCTCAGAGAATCAATTTTACTTGTATTTCAAGGAAATATTTGTATTTAGCTGGTTGATTAAACTTTAAGTTGTGCTATCATTGGTTCTTTTGAAAGTTAATGCTGTGGGCTTTCTCAGGGCAAGAAGATCAAATGTTCTGCATCTCAAGCAAAACATAGGCTGTTTATTGGTAATATTCCTAGAAACTGGACAGAGGATGATTTGAGGAAGGCAGTGCTGGAGATTGGCCCGGGTGTTACTAGCGTGGATTTGATGAAGGCAAGATAATTCACCCATCAAAATTGTGATTACATTGGTTTTAAAATTTTCATTATGCCTCTATGGAATTCTTCCTCGTGTTTATGTTTAATTTTCTTTTTGAAATGATTCATAAATTTATAACCATATTCTTGAAATCAACGGTCGTCTTACATTGAGAGACATTTTAAGAAACTCTATGTTGGTCAACTCTTTTCAAATGTCACGTGGGCCCACCAATTTTGCTGTTGGTCTTCAAAGTGGCACGTTTTATTTAGTTTTTAATATTTTATATCTAAAATTGCCGTTCTATATAAAGTTCCATTTCTCATTTAATGCTGTATCCCAAGAGTTATTAATAAATAATACCGAAATTATGACAAAATAGACAATTTTGTCCAAATATCTTAAAACCCCACATAGAGCCAGAAGATCAGTCTTAAAAAAAAACTAATAAAAGAATTCTCTTATGGCAAAGTATAGATAGAAGCACTTTGAAACTAGAGGTTGGAGCCTATACGAAGCTGTTATTAAATATGATTTCTTCCATTAATTCTTTTGCCTTCCATTTTACCAATTGTTGCCATAACCGCATGTTTGTTGGAATGATGAGTTGAGAGGTGAACGGTGGTATGTCAGTTTGTCTCAATTGGCATATTTAACTTTTTAGTATATTGCATCATTCTAATAAATCATTACAATTATTGATTCAATTTAGAAATTTCTTAAGAGTATGTCTCCTAATAATTGCCTAAAATTATAGCTTACACAATTGTTTAAATTTACTTTTTTGGTTATTGTTTTTGTTGATTTAGTTATTATGACATGATAAGATAACTCTAAGCTTTAATACCAAATTTAATGCAAGATGCTTTATGATCTAGTTTTTTAATGTTACTAGATTATGCAATGAATGAAATTTAAATCCTCAAAACTTGGAATTGATAGTTAGCAGACCACTAAATAAAACAATTACCCATTTTCCTTTCCATGTAATCAAGAACATTTAGAAAATTCACACAAATGATAATTTAATGATCATCCAATTTTAGAAATAAGAAATTTAAAACTTTTTAACTCACGTTATTATCTAGAATCCTATGCAGTACAATATCCAGTTTTAGCAATTTTGACTAAAATTAGTCACACTTATAAAACTAATCTCAACATATATAGATGGAAATTAATAAGTAATAAGTTAAGAGATATATATATATATATGTTTATATATATAGGTCAATTTTTCTTAATGCTCACTTTGATTTTTTCTTTTGCAATCAAGTACTAAAGGTAATGTCGGAAAATTTAGGATCCACAAACTTCTAGCCGCAACCGGGGATTTGCTTTTATTGAGTTTTACAACCATGCTTGCGCTGAATATTCTAGAAAAAAAATGGCTGTTCCAAAGTTCAAGTTGGATTCTAATGCCCCTACTGTCAGCTGGGCTGATCCTAAAAGTGGGGATTCCTCTTCTCAGGTATTAAAGTTTAGTTAATTTCTTTTGTTATTATAACTCTGCCACTTTGTCACAAGTTATTTGCCCATGATACATATTATTTGCAGATAAAGTCAGTTTATGTCAAAAACTTACCCAAGGATGTTAGCCAAGATCAGTTGAAGAAGCTATTTGAGCACCATGGAGAAATCTCAAAGGTTGTGCTGCCTCCTGCAAAGGCTGGGCAGGAGAAAAGATTTGGTTTTATTCATTTTGCAGAACGAACATCAGCTATGAAGGCGCTTAAAAACACCGAGAGATACGAAATTAATGGTCATCAACTGATTTTATTGCTTGATTTAATTTGTTATCGAGTTTGTATTTCAAGCACTTTTTAAGCTTATCTGGTGATAATATTTATTTTTTGTTCATTAAACAGGTGAAGTTATTGAGTGTTCCCTTGCAAAGCCCCCAGCCGATAAGAAAGTGGAATCTACATCTAATTCACGTAAAGGTGCTCTCCTGCCAAGTTATACGGCTGGTCGGGTTGGATATGGAGTCATGGGAGGTGCTTATGGTCCTCTCACTCCTGGTTTTACACCGGTATAACTTCTTTCTTTTTTCGTAACAGTATAGTTTATTTGATTTTGATCTCATTTAGGGGCGTGACATCGAATTTGTGGGTTGGGTTCAAGTCTGTTGAAATTGTTTGACCTGAAATCGACCTGATGATTAATTAAATTGGTCAAAAAGTTTAACCCGAACCCGATCTGACTTTAACTTACTGTCTTGATCCTGACTTGTAATGCCTGTTTAATTGCTCTCGGGTTAATTTAATGTTGATGGGTTAACCCGAACCTGACTTAATTTCATTGGGTTAGAAAACCTGACCCAAAAATTATTCGGGTCAACCGAACCCGGATTCTTCTAGTAGAGCTCGGGCTGTGTTTGGATCGAGTTGGTGTGTCGGATTAATTTTTGACACCCCTAATCACACTATATAATGCATAGATTGTTGTCATAATTCACTGGGGTTCTATATGATGCAGGCCATGATTTATGGAAACAGACAGGCAGCTACTGGCACTGCAATGGTTCCTATAATGTTACCTGATGGGCGTATTGCTTATGTCGTGTAAGTTATTGCTTCACATTTCAACATTCATTGACTGCAAAATTATAATTTTGTGATGGCTTAAAACGTCCCATGAATGTTGCAGGCAACAACCTGGAGTGCCTATAACTCCGCAGTCACATGGTGGCCATAGATCTACCAGTAGTCGCAAAGGAAACGATAACCGGGGCCGCCGCTACAATCCATACTGAACTTTTGCCTGTAGCAATATCGTTGTAGCTGTGTTTCCCTGAAACTGTAGCTTGAAACTTTTTTGTTTTTTGTTTTTTTTGGGTTGACTAAGAGATTGTACGCTTTGTTTTGTAGTATCGATTCGGTATTTTGTTACGTAATTTATTCACGAGGACGTTTTACTAGATTCTAAAACATTTCTATTCTGTTCCATGTTATTAGTGTTGTGGATGCGATTAGGAGAATCTTCTTAGTACTTTTATAGAAGATTATATGATTTGTTAGAAAAACCTTCTAAATACTTGAAAGTGTAGAAGTATGGTGTAAGATTTATGCCTATTTAAAAGAAAATTCAGCTTCTGCTTAGGATGTGGTGAGGCTTGCCATATTAGTATAAAGAGGTCTGGCATTTTTATAAGGGGGGTTTCCTCATAATTAATTAAATCTCAAGAATTAGTTTTAAGTTATTTTTTATATCCTTTTTAATAATAGCAAGTGTGGGTGGGATGTTAAAGTTTGAGGAATTAGATAAAAGGAAAGGTTTTGATAATGATTTTTTATTTGAGTTAAGACTTGTGTTAAGTTAATTTCATTTTAAAAGTTTGTTTTGGGTTTAGGTTTGATTTTTGTTTAAGTTGGCTGTTTAAATATTGAAAATTGACTTTTTAAACAATTTTTAGGTCTTTTAAAATTAGTTGTTGAAGTTATTAAATTTACTTTTAAGTTGATTTTAAACTTGGTTTGAAAATTATTAAAATTCATTTTAGAAGTTCACATATTTTTATTACTTGTTGAAATTGATTAAACTTCATTTTAATTTAATTTTATGGTTGGTTTAAAATTATTAAAATTTTATTAGGGTTTCTTATAGTTTATTTAAGTCCATTTAAATTTATTAAGGTTTATTTGAAATTTTTAAAGTTTGTTAAAATTTATTAAAGCTTGTTAAAGATTATCAAGATTTTTATTTGAATCTAGTTTGATTTATTAAAAATTGATTTAAGTTCTTTAAAGTTTATTAAAATTTGTTTTAAAATCTCTTAAGTTTAATATGATTTTTATTTAAAGTTAAAAGTTAAATTTTGTTAAACTTGGGTTGAATCTAAATTTTTTTTTTATACTTAGAGTTGAGCCCAAATTGAAAGTCAAAGCGGTGGAAATACCTTGAATTTGAAGTTCAGGTTTAAAGTACAAAATTGAATTGAACTAGTTCAAAATTGAGATTGGGTTTGATTTCATTAGTTTTGAAATACATTTGAAATGGTTTGAATTTGATATTGAAATTGATTTGGATTGGATTGAGTTGAGATTGATTTAAGCCGAGTTAAGATGAGTTAGATTTGATTACGTTGCATTTGAGATTGATTTGATCATAAAATAGGGGTAGGAAATGATAGAGGATTTCTAGATGGAGCTGAATATCTAACCTAATATAACTCAAAATAGGAGACTATATATAGACTAACCTAAATTTTGAGAATAACACCACCCATAAAGAGGTCCATGACTTTCCATAGTTCCAAGTGCATTAATATTCTTAAACTATTAACCAATAGAAAAACATGAGACCCCCCTTGTCATCATAATAGTGCTTTAAGGTAGACCATCATACTATTAAATGGTTCAAGTTTTTTCGTCAGTAACTTTAGGTTATTTCATTTTAGGATATCCCTATAGCCCAAGGGGGTATGCCATGGTTGTAATCGTTAATTTTATTTATTGGGTACCTAGTAAGCTAACTTAGGATTTTATATTGAATTACTCTGGGATGTATGTAAATATGGGTTTTCTTACACGTTGGATAACCTAGGGTTCACGGTTTGGAGCTATTTTAGGCTATCGTTATGAAAATTAGAGATGGTTGAATTTAACTACTTTAGGGCTTCAATATTTAAATAGTTATGATGATAAATCAGAGTTCTTCTGAAGTTTGTGGTTTCAATTTTCCTAGAGTATTGTTTGATGTCAGAAAATCATAGTTCTCTTAAGGTTTGAATGTCGTTTTCTATACTAAGTGTTCTTGTTCTTCACTTTGAGGGTTTTGGTATGCGTGGTTAACTTATATTCAACATAGACTCTTTAATTCTATACTCTCCATATTTAAGGATCACTCATATTATCACTAAAAATATTTTATTTTTTATACGAAAAGAATTTTTTGATAATTTAATTTTGTAATACAAAAAATATAAGCGATATGAGTTTACTTTTATATAAATTATTTAGATTTAGAATGACCCAAGGCTTATATACTCATGACTCAAGGTGACAAAATCACATATTTTTTGGGAAAAAAACATTGTTCAATCAATAGATACACATGCTAGGGAATACATAAGTCTTTCTTACACTAAGCAATTGAGAGAGCACTACAAAACATATAAATTCTTTTATCATAAGCTCAAAAGGACTTTTAAAAATTTTGTTTGAAAAAATCCCCTTTTTTAATTATTTTTGTTTTGAGAAGGTCTTTTGAAAAGATTCAAAGATTTAAAGGATTTTATGTCTTTGAATTTTAAAAAAGATCTTTTATCTTTTAATTCTAAAAGAGTTTTGAAGCATGAAAAAGGCTTCAAATTTTAAAAAGATCTTTAGTATTAACTTTGAAAATCGTTTTGAATTTTGAAAATAATATTTCATTTTGAGAAAGAACTTTAAATTTTTGAAAAGAATTTAATGAGATTTGAGCATTTGAAAAGGAGTTTTAAGCTTTTAAAAGATATTTTAAACTTAAGAGATTTAAAATTTTGAAAATCATTAAAGGATTCATATATGAGAGAACCTTTGAGCTTGAGCTTTTCTAAATTTTAAAATTAAGAATTTTAAAGCATATTTAGTTAAAGAAGAAAGTTATTCTTTTTATGATCATTTTAGAGCTCAAGTAATTTAATTATATATAAAGATATTCTTTTTTTGTTTAATTTTTAAGATCACCAAATTCTTTCTCTTACTTAGCCTAGGAAGCTAATCCTTCATCCTATACATCCTTTAAACATATATAATCGTTGACCGAAATTCTTATTGAATGGAGCTTCCTAACTATACATTCTAACTTGCAGAAAAGAAAAATTTTACAACTATAAGGAATGTAAAAACACCATCAAATAATGCATACATATTCTCATACAATCACATTATCATACTTGCAAAGCACACACTCATGTAATCATACACTTCACATGTTTTTCTTTTCTTTTTCCTTTTTTTTACATGTACATACACAGTACTATACATTACATAAGTTTACAATGTAGACATGAATCAACCTACATGAACATGGACATAACAAATATATTTTAGGTTACATGAGCTAGATCCATAGTGTTTATGCTAAAGTCCTAAGCACATACATTCATACCCACATAACATATTTATACTTGCAGTTAGATGTATGAATGTATATATATATATATATATATATATATATATATATATACACACACACACACACACACACACATATATATATATATATGAACCTCCGAACCACATTCTATAATCGGGAGGAATCAAAACCCAGACCAGAAAAGATGAGACTTACAACTGACAAGCAGATATCTGACCAACTGATCTAAGTATATAGTAAAATAAGCTGTTTATTGCTCCTTACATGTTGATAAGCTCAAAAGTACATCAAAATGTGAGAGAAAGAACATAGGAGGGGAAAGAAAAAAGCAAAAAAAACCTATAAAACACAAGAAAGTTTAAAAAACTCCAATGAGCACCCAATACCAAAAACCTCCCTAAGAGATCCTGTACCAATCACTAGAGGTGTGGGACAATTGCTGTGGGGGAGAGTTGGATAAAATCATCCCCTATCAGGGATAAAAAGATTGGCCTATTCCCAAAAGAGAGGTAGACCCATAATTCCATGGTCAGGTAGTGCATTAGAAGTCTCCATTGCGGAAAAATCAAGGAGGGGGAAGCTTCTTGTCATGTAATCCACCTACTATGAAGAATCGACCTCAGCTTGCATGGAGTCCACAAGCCTTAGGTGAGGGCCATCAAAAAAGTCCCCCTGAAGCAATAAAAAAAGTGGAGATGAAGGAGATGTAGATACTATAGCCCTCTGGGACTCAACTCCCCTTTTAGCTAGATAATTACCTGGTTTGTTTCCCTCCCTGTAAATAAAGTTTAGTTCCATCTTTATGTCTTCCAATATGGGTCTCATATGTTTGATCCACTGGATTATATGCCAAGGTGGGGTACTCCTTCCTGACATGTACTCAAATAGCTGATAAGAGTCTGTCTCCACCTGAATCCAATTCCATTGATTCATTGTTGTAAGCTTCAAGGCCCAATACATTGCCATAGTTTCAACCTCCATAGCATCCTCTGCAATAGTTTGTGATTGGTAATGAAGCACACATTTACCCTTACAATCTCTGAACACTCCTCCAATTCTAGCTCTTTTTGGGTAAAAGCTTCCATCTATTTTTACTTTGAGAAAAGGGTGTGTGGGCTTCTTCCAGAAAACCTTCTTCACTTGGTATTTGAGAGGACTGGCAGTGCCTTGCATTTTCAAGATGTTGGGGAAGTTTTTCCATTTAATGAGTTTTCTAATGAAGGCCATATAGTTTGTGACCAACTTCTTTGTGCTTACCTGACGTTCTTCATTTTTTATATTGTCTCTGGCTGTCCAGATAAACCAGGCAACAATGAAAGGGAGGGCCCCCAATTTGTTGTCATTCCATCCCCTCCAGCAGGTAAAAGGACTTTGCCATTCCAGGTTAATGGTGTTGATCTTTAGCTAAGTCATCATAGACCTCCAGATTTCCTGAGAGACTTGACATGCAAAAAACAAATGCCTAGCTGATTACTCAGCCATCTTGCATAGAGAGCAGATTGAGGGGCCTCTCAGACCCTTAAGCCTGAGTATATCATCAGTAGAAAGTAAATTATTGAAGCATCTCCAGTTGAAAAAGGACATGGAAGGTGAGAGGAATTTATTCCACAAAAATTCACCCTAGGGGACCTTAGCCCAATCGTATAACCTATTGTATATTGCTTTGTTCAGGCTCTGGTTATATGTAGCATCTAACACCAAAAGATCTTTTTTGCTTCTGTTAAAAGCTAGTTTGGATATTTGTTGTGCTGGCTGATCAGTTAGTAGAGACTGTAGCTTATCCAAGAACCAGCTGTTTCCCTCCAAGCACTCCTGCACCTTTATATTTAGCTCTGAATTTTCAGTAAGTGG